TGCATAGTTTAAAAAATATTCTCACCACTAACTTCAGTTTGTAGTCCAGATTTTTTCTTATTATGAGAAAATGCCATAGCCCTTTCTAATCTATGGTTGCTGCTTTTTGGAAGAAATTAAACTTTTTAATGTTTACAGCCTTTTTTCCCCATTACTGGTTAAATTAATACAGCTACAGGAAGAGATTTCAAGGCACCCTTACCTGGTGCTGATTCTCAGAAATGATTTTATTTTTTCTCAGATAAGCCTTTCATATCCTTTAACAACCAGTCATACAACAGATTGGTTGTTTGCAAAGTCATAAACAGCTGTTCAGTTCATTGTGCAAACAGATGTTAGGGAAGCAGCAAGGCTGTTGATAAGAATGTGGGGTTTTGTTTCTGATGCAGCCCAATCAGGCATGCAGAGAGCCACAAGAGGCTGAGAGTGGCATGCAAGGAGAAAATGAGTCATAAGGAGCCCCCTCCCACCCCTTTGCTGAAGGAAGGCTTTTATTTTTACCAGGTGGGGGATGGAAACTTAGGACAGGCATGCTTATAAGGCCTCAAAAATCCTGATTTTATATATAGCAATTCATTGGGGGAATTTTTCTCACCAGTAGATCACAGTTCCTCCTAAGTCGGTGGTTTCTTGTTAAACATATTCACTGTCTTTCCACAGTGGATTGCATTTTGAGTTTCAACTAGGCCTTGAGGGAAGGGAGACACAACAGTGAGAGAAGCTTGTGAAAAATGGGGGAGGGGATGAAATATGCAGGCCTAGGGTGGCACGGCTGTGTCTGTGAGCACAGGAAGGGCTGATGAGTGGGACTCTGCAGAGGAGTGAGGCTGACACATCATCGACTTTCCAGCCAGCCAGTCTGCAGAACTGCACTGACCGATAATCATATGACCCGTTCTATTTACGCATGCAGTGGTGTGTTTTCATTCAAACAGAACTACCCCTTCATGACTCACCGAGGCGGATCAGTCAGGGGTTTATTTACTTTACTGCCTTTTACTGTCATAGCTACCTCTTTCACTTCTTTACACCTTTCTTTTTGCTAGTTTTATGGATTTTGTAAAAAAAAAAATTCTTTCTTCCACCTTATTTTGCAGAGAGTAAATCAATTCTCCATTGAACACATATCCATTTTAAAATATTAAAAGTTATAGATATCACCTTTAATAATCTTCTTGACCCAAAAATAGACATGCAACATATTTTTTACCTTTGAATACTTTGATTTAGTTTCAAATTTGAAACACTACTTCAATATTATATAGTTTGAATTATTAGGACTGTGCAGGAGATTGAAATGTAAAACATATTACAAGTTTACAATTTATCAAGCTATTTTGTTTAAAAGCTACTAACATATTTATCTTCTTAAAAACAATCTTGCAGTTCCAATAGTGTGAGGCTTGTTAGCATCATGTCAACAAATTCAAAACAAGTTGATGTCAAGATGTCAATGCTTATTAACATCAAAGAGGCTCCTATGACTTCAAGACTCTTTTGTTTTGATTTCTGGATTAAAGGCAAGGCATATTCTTGAAAATTCAAAAAAAACAAAAACAAATTAAAGTCGGGTTTTATTGTTTAACTTCTTCATTTTGTCAGAGGGTGACCAGACAGCTACAGATTTGTGAAAACATCCAAAAGAAGAAGAAGACTGGTTTGTTTTCAAAAACTCTATTTTTTTTCCAAATTTTTTGGATGCAGCTTGAAAAGTTTGAGCTTTAAATTTACATAAGAGGAAGGGGAAAAATGAACCCGGAAAAAAAAGGAAGCTCTCTCTGGTTCAATGGATTCGGAGTCATGTCCCTCTTCCCTGTTGAGAAATTCCTACCATGTCTGTGGGCAGGCAGCTGCCTCAAAGAATGGCTGGCCATGTTTTTAAGAAGGCAGTATGTTCAAGCAGCATTCCTGTGGAAAAAACAAAACTGTTGCCTACAAACCCTCCAGTTTTATTCAAAACAATTGATTTCCTAATCAAGCTAATAGCAGCAAATGGGTCATGTAAAAAACGATCAACTTCAGTATGTCAACAAAACTTCACTTTAGTCTAATTGTTCTCAGCTCACATTTTGTTGAGGTAAAAATTAGTTGTACATAATTCCAGAAGTAGTTTTACCAAAATGTCAGTGGTGTCAAAAGTACACAAATTTGTTACTTAAGTAGAAGTATAGATACTGCAGTTTGAAAACACTGTGGTAAAAGTTGAAGTATCAACTTGGCCTCTTTACTCAGGTAAAAGTGGAAAAGTATGTGCTCCAAAAACTACTTAAAGTATAAAAGTATAAAGTAACCTTTAAAAAAAACAGCCAGATGCAACTATATGAATTGAAAGCTCAATTTTTTTTCTTTTTTGGAAAATTTTTTTGGGTTGGGGCCAGGGTTGGGGGGGTTTTTTTTGTTTTTGTTTTCCTTTTCCTGTTCGGTTTACCCTTTTTTCGGCCTTTTCGGCCTTTTCACCTTTTTTTTTTGATTCCTCTTTTTTGGCTTGGCGTGGCCATTTTCGTTTTGCGTTTTGAGGACTTCTTGTTTGTTTTTGTTGTTTTCTTTTGGGTTCGGCCCAATTTTGCCAATTGGTTAACCATTGGTTTTTGCGTTATATAACTGATCCAATTACACTAGTTTTCACTAGATGTGGATGGCGCCAATGATCTGCATTGGATGGCACACATGACGTGAAATAAATTTTTATAAACATTAAACTGAAGCCAAGAGTAATGAGTAACATTTGTTTTAAAAATGTAAGGAATAGAAAGTACAGATACTTTTGTGAAAATGTAGTAGAAGTAATGGAGTAAAGTATAGATACCTTAAAAGTGTACTTAAGTACAGTAACAAAGTATTCGTACTTTGTTACTTGACACCTCTGCAAAATGTGCAGTTTAGTATTAACTCTGTACTCAAATAGCTATTGGAAATTTTAATTTCGTTACATTGAATTAGAAATAAACAAAATAAAAACAAATTTCATTAGCTTATCTTGTCACTGAGTAGTTCTACCTCATATCCACAATAAATGGTTTATATCGCTTTAATTGTTGGTATTGCTTTAAATGTTTATATTTGTTAAATTACAACAGATTCCAGAAATGCAATTAAAAGCGACACACACAGCAGGTTGTAACCCTTGTCAGTGCAGACGGCTATTTAAAACTCTCCAAGTGGCGCCAGCTGTTTACATTGTTGTCAGTTATGGGTTTGCCATTAGTGTGCAGATGTTTAGGATATACTTGTGTGTTTGTGTTAAACAGCTGATGATTTTTTTTCTCTTTTACATTGTTTAGAAAGCTATTCATTTTCTCTGAAATCAGAGTGTTTATTTTGAATGACTAAACCGCTTTTGAGTTGATTTTAACATCAAATTTAGATTGAACTTGGTGATTTTATGTGAACAACATTTTCAACACTGATTAGAGTGAAAAGTTAACAATTTTTTTTTATGCAGATTATGTAATAGATGTCTTTCCTTTGTATTTACTTGCTTTAAAAAAAAAAAAACCCTAAAAAAAATCCAGTGCAACCGATTATCTTCAGATGTCACCTTATTAGTGAATAGGTTCCACTTTTGCATAATTTAATAATAATAGCTGAATTAATCTCACACTGGAGAATTCACCTCTGCATTTCTGCATCTCAGTAGAAATGCAGCTATTCTAATTCTAGCATCAGAGGTTTTTATTATGAAATTATACCAAATTAGCAAACACATAAAGTTCAATGATTATATTGGGGCCTCCCCAATATAATCAAACACTTGTGACTCCAGTGGGATTGTTACACATGCATGCCACAGTTTTATTTTTTATATTTTTGCTTACAACAAGACCACGTTTGAAACCCAAACATGTTTAAAGACCATGTTTGGGTTTCTTTCATTTTACTATCATCTATAACTCTATTTTGGTCTATCATATTAAACATACATGCCGGTTTGTGGTTGTAAGGTTCCAAAATGTGAAAAGATTCAGCAGTCATTGCTTTTCTTTGAGCAGTAATTGGTTGTAAGTTGAGGCCAAATTAAGTTAAGTCCTTGTAATTGTGTCATAAAATTGCAAAGGGATTGAAATCAAGTTTGTTAGACTGAAGGGTCAGCTGCCTAATCAACTAGTTGGCAGCACTGGAGCACCAAAGGGGACGGTACTCTCACCATTCCTTTTTACTCTGTACATGTCTGACCTCCAGTACCAGAGAGAGACCTGTCATCAGCAGAAATACTGAAATGACTCTACAATCATTGAGTACATCAAAGATGGCAAGAAGCTGAGTACAGAGAGTTGGTGAACCACTTTGTGTGGAAATCATTTGATCCAAAATGTCCACAAGACAAGGGAGATGATTGTAGATTTCAGAAGAAACAGGAACATGTTGAACCCTATTAGCATCTTCCCTTGTGTACAGTGTGATCTCTTCCTCCATCATCTGCTTGGGTAACAGCGTCGGAGGAAATTACTTAAAAACAAGCTGTTCAACAAGCTAATTAAGAAGGCCGGCTCTGTTCTAGCAATTCCTCTAGAACCTCTTGAGATTATTTCACAAATAATCTCAATAACTCAATGAAAAAAACAAACAGAAAACCATATTAGTTACTGCAACATTTCATTTCCCTTTGGTAAATACATATAATAAATTGGGAAATATGTATTAATAATAATAATAATAATAATAATAATAATAATGGTATTTTTCTTTTTTTCAATGAATTGAAATTTCTTTTATTCATTCTTTACTTTCTGCACACACAATGTTTCAGTTACCATCTTAGTCAACAAATAACAGGATTTCCTCTTGCTGCTGTCTGGAGGAAACACCTACCTTACAGTGTCGATTCATTCCCTTGTTAATTAATGAATAACCCAACCTTTATCTGAGTAACCATGGTAACAGCTGAGCTTTAAAAAGGTGTGGCTTTGGCATAAGCAAATAGGTTATTAGCCAGGCATCCCCGTCTTTATCCCAAAGGGCTTTCAAACTGCAGCCTTAACATCGTTGTGTTTTGCACGCAGGCAGGATGGCAGCGCATCACCCAGAGTTTGAGCGGGCCGGTCAGAACCCGGGTCTCCAGGTGTGGAGGGTGGAGAACTTTGATTTGGTTCCCGTTCCAGAGAACCTGTATGGGGGTTTTTACACCGGAGATGCCTACCTCATCCTCAACACCATCAAACAACGCTCAGGAAATCTGCAGTATGACCTCCACTTCTGGCTGGGTGAGTCCATTGACAACAAATAATCTACCCAATGAGACCAAAATAAGTTATATCTTTAATTCCCGTTTTCTGTAAAATTATTTTTTTTTATATCAAAAAGAAAAACATTTTTTTCAGATGTCCGTTGCAGCTACAACCTTGTTTGACTTGCAAATCAGTTAATGACTCTGTTACTGTGTTCCTTTGAGGGATTCATGGAAAAAAGTGTTGCTTTGCTGCTTTGTATGTTTCTCAGAAATTCCTAAAACCTGTCTGACCTGAACAGCATTTGCCTCTTAGTCTCAAAAACATCAATAGTTTATCCACAGAAAGGTTCTGTAGGGATGAATCAGATTTTTTATTTTATTTTTGCAGAGCATCATGCTAGGATAAAATGGAAAAGTCAATAACTTTATTAATTTCTGAGTTTTTATGCAACATATAGGTAGCTATACTTAATCACCAGGAATTTGGTGAGACATTAGGTTAATCTCCTGCTGTAAAAACTGGATTGTGTTGCAGAATGTTCCAAATATCTAACATCCAGTTCTAATTTATTACACTACATTTACAAAAAAGGATGTTAGTTTAAACTTGTTTTTACTGCATTATCTTAAGCTCTCTATTTGAAGCATAATTATCTTTAGTTATCTCTATTGGAACTGACTGTTTTGTTTTATAGAGCTCTACTGTTTTAGTCAGTTGGACTGGTTATCAGAAGTCCTAATGATTGACTAACATTGTTAGAGAGTTGAAAGATTGTGACTTTTTACAGTTTGGCTTTAGGTAATTTGTCCCTATATTCATTCAACACATTCTCATTTTTTTTTTTTTTCACGGAGAGTCTGTTTTAAGAGAGCGCGGTTACATTTGCTACATCTTTGAAATACTTTGAAATAAAAAAATAGCAATACTAAAAGAAAACATTTTAAATATTTGCAAGGTTTTAAATGCATAGGTACAAAATGATCGTTATGGAGGTGCAAAATGGAAATAGGAAGGGAAAAAATGTCTGCTGGAGTAAAAATCGGCTAAATGACCAGAAGCAGTTTAGAACAAGTAAATGTGAGTATTTCACATGGTCCCTTTTTGCTGTTGTGCTAACCTCGCATTGAACCATGACTTTAAAACGTATATACACATTCAACCGTGATCCAGGTGTACCATTACGACCAAGATGTTACCAGACATAGATTTTTTTAGGAAGCAACATTCTCCGCCTGTAAGTCCTAGACCATATTTTTGAAGCAATTCCAACATTCACCACAAAACCTAAAGTCTTGTAAGCAAATTATATTCGCTAGACCATGAAAAAACTAGTGTTGCACCGATAAAGATACCAGTATTGGACAGGCCCCCGATACAGCACTAAAATGGTCGCATCAGTATCAGTGATTACCAACAAATAGGGCACCGATACCATTTTGAGAGCCAAAAGTGTATTCAACTATTGTCACCCATTCTAGATAGGCAATAAAAAGTTTTACTGGATTCACTTTCTATTAGTCTTTTTCCTGCTTCACAAAGGTAGGCAGCAGCTTGACAAAGCCATGATGGCAATTATTTTACATCCAAATAGTATGCAGTTCTTCATATATACACACACACACACATCAATTTCAAACAGATGGTATTGGTATGGTACCGACTGATACTGCACAGCCAGGTATCGGGTATCAGTATCGGGGCCAAAAAATTGCATCAGCACAACACTAGAGAAAACATTAACATGGAGAACTTCTTGTTTGTTGGATATAGGTGATGTCTGCAGCCAGGATGAGAGCGGCTCTGCAGCAATCTTCACTGTCCAAATGGACGACTTCCTCGGGGGGAAACCGATCCAATACCGTGAGGTGCAGGGGTACGAGTCCAAAACCTTTCTGGGATACTTCAAGTCTGGAATAAAATACATGGTATGATGTCTGTGATTACATGGGAAGCAGCCGCTGCTCGTCACTTTTTAAAATGATAAAAAACTTAAACAAACACTGAAGGTTTGCTCTCTTTGTGCTGAAATGTGAAATGTATTTTTCTAGAAAGGAGGCGTAGCGTCTGGGTTCAAACACGTGGTCACCAATGAGGTGTCGGTGCAACGGGTTCTCCAGATCAAGGGTCGGCGTGTCGTCCGGGCCACGGAGGTGCCGGTCAGCTGGGACAGCTTCAACCAGGGAGATTGCTTCATTTTGGACTTGGGAGATGTGAGTAGGACAGAGAAGATTATTATTTTATGTAAAACATGATATCATCTGACCATTACAAGATTTTTCATGTCATGGAAATTATGCATGATTGAAAATAAGTGAAAGACAACAAAGGAAAGAGGCCGCTCTTGTTAATTGAATTTGTTTGTCTGATGCTTTCATTTCACAGGAGATTTATCAGTGGTGCGGCTCACAGAGCAACCGTTTCGAGAAGCTCAAGGCTACTCAGGTCGCCAAGGGCATCCGTGACAATGAGCGCAGCGGGAGGGCCCGGGTGTACGTCTGCGACGAGGGAATGGAGAGAGAGAAGATGACGGAGGTCTGACCAATATAGCCGCTGAAGCAAATGAACTAACAAACTGAGAGTTTTTTTTTTCTCACACTGCTGCCTCTGTTCACAGGTTTTAGGTCCCAAACCAGATCTGCCTCCTGGGGCTTCTGATGACATCAAAGCTGATGCTTCAAACAGGAAGAAGGCAAAACTGTACAAGGTTAGCATGAATGTGTGCTTCTAAAGCTAGATAGTAGAGGCGAGAGAGAAAATTTCACATAAGTTTAAATGTTTAGTGTCCTTCAGCCCAAGAATTCAGTGTTTTCTTTTATTAGCTGTGGCGACAACAGTATATCTAAACTGTTTTCAGTTTAGCAGCTAAAAGATAATACCAGAATTTTTCTTTTATCTCTTATTTAAAAATAAAAATAACAAAAGAGAACATTTTCAAGATGTTTAGGTTTGGATTAGAAAAATAATTCAGATTTCCATTTTCTGTTGTAATTTTTTTAAATCGAAAACATGTAGCAAAAAAATTTACAAATACTTCAATTAAAACTTTAATTGATTTTCCTTTGCACTATCCACAAGAATCAAAAAAATTCAATACAGGGATGCATTGTTTTCATGAGCTTAAAGCTCAAATTTTAAGAGTCAATGGGCTCTATGCACAGCTCCACTACTTCCTGAATTTAAGGCAGCTCCTTTGTTTCCTGTCTTTCATTACTGGACGAACTGATTAATCCAGG